AACTCTACAAAAGCATCTTTATATTATTCAAAATAATTCCTCATAAAAATTCATGACATTTAAATTAGCTCTAACAGTATAATATTCCAACAATGTTGATTCAATTGCTAATAGCCACTGGAAATATTCTTTACTATTTCTGAGTCAATGTTTTAAGTCTTCAAATCACTTCCTCCTTGTTATTTTAAAAGAAAATAAAATATATCATAATTATTTTTCCTGTGTCTGTCTACAATATTCTATGTTCTTAAATCTGATGCCTTGTATGACCAGATTTATAAGAAAAAGACAAATTGTATAAAGTGAGAGTCAATTGCAGATTTTCAAGTTAAATTATCACGCATCTTCCTTGAATAGTGGAGTACTGAAAACCTCAACAGAACAATTTTTGGATTGAACGTTTACTTATTTTTGCCAAAGACCTGGCAAAAAATATTTTTTCCCCAAAGAAAAACCACCTTGCATACATAACTTTTCTCCCTTTCTCATGCTATTGTATCTGTGGTGAAAAGGGCTGATGATCACCAACATATTTCCCTTGAGAACTTCCAGCTTCTAAGTCATCCTCCACTGCTTCTTTGGAAAACAATTCAAATTTCTTGATTTTTCACTCCTTAGCAGAAGAACCAAATATTTTGGGCAGAAAAGACACAAATGAAGCTTGACTGATTTATGATAAGAGAACTAGAGAAAAAGAGGCTCTGGGTGTACCTTATCACTTTCTACAACTACCTGAAAGGAGGTTGCAGCAAAATCAGGGTCAGTCACTTCTCCCAGGCAACTAGTGACAGGACAAGAGGACATAATCATAAACTGCATCAGAGAATGTTCAGACTGGACATCACAAAGAATTTCTTTGCTGGAGAAGTGGTTAAGCATTGGCATGGTTTGCCCAGGAAGGTGATGGAATCAATGTCCCTAGAGGTGTTCAAGAAATGACTAGATACAGAACTTAGTGCAATTGTCTAATTGTTCGTTGATAGGTCAAATGTTGGACTCAGTGGTCTTGGAGATCTTTTCCAACATTTCTTGAGTCTATAATTCTATGACTAAGACAACTAAGATCTGAAAAATTGAAATGTTGACATCTTAGCTATTTATCTTACTTTACATTCTGTGGCAAGAAGTAGCGATTTATTGAGGCTGCCTATCATATCACATGCCATTTTCCTCTTCCATCCTCTTCTGCCTGTAAAGTGAGCCCAGCCTCATTACCTTATGTGCTGACATCCAGAATTCAAATATTTAAAATGAGTTCTCCAGTGAAGGTTTCCATCTCATGGTTTGTTTGATTTTTATGATTTTGACAATGTAATGTCAGTAGATAATATCAAGAGACAATACAATAATACTGCATTGTCTATTGCTTTAAGTGACTAGTGGAATAGAATAAAATCTCTCTCAGATAAACTAAACCACCACAGTGGGAAATACACAGAGGAGGATCAGATTAACTAAACAGTTCTTGAGAAACCTACTGGCTTCCATTTAGTTCTGGGGGTGGTTTTTGTGTGTATTTGGTTTGTTGGCTTTTGGTTGAAGTTTTTTTTTTTTTTTTTGTATGTTTTTGATTGGTTTTGGTGATTTGCTGGGTCTGGTTTGGGTTCTTTTTTGTTATATTTATTACAATTTGATCAAAAAATATTATATATATTCACATTTTGCTGTGTTTTAGTAGTGATCCTAGTTCTCACAGGAGATTACCTGGATGGACACCTTATCAACAACAGATTTCTGCTGTTATTTCATCGCTCTCCCAGGTTATTGCTAAGCTACATATCATTAAGTAGTCTAAGAGGAAACCAATGTGCATGCACTGACCAAGGCAGAAAGTAGATTTCTGTTTAAAAACTTGAGGAGAAACACTGATAAAATCCACTTTACAGAATGAATGCACATATTTCCATAAGCTTAGAAGACTGAAAACTTCCACTGAAACAATGTAATTAAAAGTTACAATGAAAAAAATGCGTTATCATTCTTAGTGACATTTGATTAAACATGCTAGCTCACAAAAATACACAAATGAAGGTCACATTTGCAAGTATTATAAGACAGTCTACATTTTAATTAGATAGTTGAGAAATGCCAGTGAGTTAGCAACTGACCAGGAGTCATTTATAGAGAAAATGGAATAAAGGAAAACAAAACATCACACCAAAGTTTACTCTCTATAAAGTTCAAACATTACAAAGGCAGTTTTCAAAGAAATTTTGGGGTTGATTCAATGAATTTTCCTTGTCAATTTTCTCTGTTTATAGAAAGAATGCATTTTGGTCAAACTACTGTGTACCATTGTTTGAGCTTTACTGAGCTATGCTGTACCTTTTAAAGCAAATTAAAAAATATAACAGGGTAGTATTTGTGGTTTACATTTGTACCTATGGACTGTACCCAAGGAACTTGTGTCAACATTTGCTGTCTTGTGATCCCCTTTCTCTAAGAGTCAGTTTTGTTTTCTCACAACACCACACATGAAAAAAGTTAAATTTAACATGACATAGTTATTACAAATTACAGGAATAAAATACTTGCGCATTATCTTGGAATTTCTAAATTTTATTTTTCATAGGACCAAAAAAAAAACCCTCAGTAAAATAGAAGACAGGGTCTCTATTACCTAGTACACTGTTGTTTTCCTTGTTGTCTAAAGTCTGACCAATCTGACTGAAGAGCAGTGTGTGCTGGAAATAATAAGAGATACATAAATAATTTATTGAATTGATATAGATTCATTAAAAATTTGCCAAATCTATATCAGTTTGCTATTGGAAATCCATTAAGAAAATGTGTTCTGGAAATTAAAAAGAAATAGTCTATCTTAAAGTGCCATACCACTGTTAAAATTACTATAAATCTGATAGTTCCAGTTCAAAGAAATATGAAGGCTAACCCAAATCACTGATTTTATTGTGGCTGGTTTCTAGTTGCTTGATATCCTTATCATTTGGGGCTGTATATTCCTTATCTGTGTCTTTTGCAGCTGAAGGCACCTTTGGATGTTTCATCCCAAATACTCAACTTATTTCTCAGAATGAGGCCAGGGAAAACATAATTTCATAATGAAGCTCAAGTATAGCAGCATTTTGAGAACTACCCATACTAGTTTTGATGAAATTTCTCAAGGATTTTTAGGGTAGACTGGTAAAGTAAAAAAGCACATTAGAGAGTAATATCTATTCTCCAGCAGTTTAACTACTATGTACTTAAATAATGGAATATATAAATTTATTCTCCCAAATCTCAGAAGTCTAATCCAAACCAAATTAAAGGAATAATTTTACTGTAAATAGTACTCCAATAAAAATATATTCCAATTAAGGCACTGTAACTAGGCAGTTCAGAAGTCTAAATCTCTGAAGGTGAATGCCCAAATTAGGAAGTAGGCTTTGTTTTCAGGTAAGTGTGTTTTCTGCTGTAGTTGTCAGTAACAATCACAGGCTACAGACTTTCAGTAAACAAAACAAAAAATATTTCCTTATGTATAATTTATCAACCATTTCCAGTTATGTTTTACAAAAGAAACATGACTAGGATACAGCATCCCCATGAGTATGACAGAGCAACTGGAGTCAGGGTGAAATTTCACATTGATTGCTAATCCCAGCCAAACAATGCACTTATACCATAGAAGGTCAAAAAACAGATTATGTAACACTATCATTGCTGCAGGAACTTTTCACCATGTCAAGTGAGTTATATTCTTTCCTTCTCTTTCCTCCCATGGTACTTTGCATTCATACCCTCTAAGATCTTGCAGATTCTTTTGTTCTTTCAAACCCTGAAACTACCACTGCAGAAGTAGTGTTCCCCATTCTGCTAATAACGAAGAATTATAGAATTTTTTTTTCCTTTTTAAGCAGAAGAATTGCAGTCTTCTTAACTTGATGAGGCAGCACAGAACAACTTCATTTCACAAAATTGCCTTCACAAAGCATTTCACAAAAAGTTGTCAGAACAATTTAAGTGTTGTTGAATCCTATTTACTAGACTGTCTCTTTGTGTTACATACACAAACAAAAAGGAGAGTCACAGTCTAAAAATGACAAATATTACATACTATGCCAATGTGAAGAGAATGTCCAGTTTTAAAATATTCATCACCAGCAGAGATGATAGAAGAGTGATTTATTTTTCTTCTTGGCTCTTCCAATTGTCCTCCAAAAGATCTATTCCTTCATAGGCACTGAATATGCAGTCTGGATCCCTTCGTTCATCTCTGAATATATTTTTGAATGTTCTCACCTCCTTAATATCATTGCACTTTCAGGACAAATGATTTCAATACTTCTGCTTGCTTTGTTCCTGCAGGTCCTGAGTTATAGTTTTTAATATATTTTAATGTAATTCATTTCCTTTATATTTGACATTACAAAGGGACTGAAAACTTGGGTACTATTCTTATTTGTAAACAGTGAAATTTTAAATAGAGTCAGAAAAGGCAAAAAAGGGAACTTGAAGAGACAGCAGAGAGGTGACTTTAGCATATGTATGCTTTTGGGAAAGGCATTTGTGCATACAGGTACTCTTGGCCCGTTTAGCTAGCCTGCTTGATTTGCAGAGTGCTGTTGAATTGAAAGGCATATTTGATTTCAGTCAGTGTTTCTGCATTGCATATACAAAGGGAAGGAAGGCTGTGAAGGAAAGATGGTGACCTGGCAGACACTTTTCCACTAAGAGATAGAAATATAGGGTCATAGAAATTGAATTAAAAACATTGAAAACTCATGTTTCCATAAGTAAGAAATTTAATGAATACCTGATTTCTATATTGTGGAGAAGCTGCAGGGAAATTTAATTAGAGCTCCATGCTACTAACCAATTCTTTTCAGAAGCTGAGTCCCTCATCAAGCCTGGTATGTTTCTGTCACTCCTTTTATGTATAAAACTTTTCTGCCTTTCTACTGCTTAACTAAGCATTCTTCTGCAAAGTGATAGATTTAGTCTCTATTCAGTGTTCACTTCTTGCTGTTTTTTTTTTTTTAATTTTTTTTTTCCAGATTATTCAGAAGCTGTTCCTGGTCTCCCCACATCATATGCTGCTATCCTAAGAATCAAATCCGGTAGTTCATCTTTAGCCTCATTTAATTCAAAGAACAGACCACGATTAAGCAGTCCTTCATTAGGAAGTGTATCTTCACCAGGCTGGAGAGGAACCACACAACATTATCACTCCCCAACAAACCTCTACCACTTCTCAGAGACCTTCAAACATGATGGTAAGTGTAGCTTCCCCCTCTAAAACTTAGAAACATTTTTCAAAATCAGTGTATTTTTGTCAGCTTACTTCAGTATTTCTCAGATATAGTTTTGAATTTTATTAAATGTCACAAGGTGGAAATGAGCTGCTTTCCTTTAGGTTCTTCAGGAAAGCCTTAAGGTCACCAGTTAAAATATCCTTTCTTAGAGATTCCTCTGCAGAATGGTTTTATGCAGGTGTTGCTGCATGAAAATAGCAAACAAGTGATTTGAAATTCCATTACAGCACAACTTTATCTAGTAGTAAAATCTAAGCCACTTTTTTTCTCCTTGGATTTTTTTTTATTTAATCATGTATGCCAGTAATATAAATTAAACATGAAGTGTAAATCTTATAAAACTACTTTTGCTCTAAATTATCTCTTCTGTGTACTCAACTGTGTCATGCATGTACTTATGTGCATGCTTGGATAGAGTTTCTGGTGTGATATGGTGTCATTCACCTCTAAATGCAATAATTCATAGGAACAATACATATTTTCCCATCTTTGGTTATATTTTAAAAAGCTACATTTCTAATATCATTTCTTTAGTGACAATAATTACCTGAATTTCAGTCAAAAAAGATAGAAAGCCAGAAAGAAAGAAAGGAAAGAAGGAGAGTGAGGCAGGGAGGGAGGGAAAGATTAGAGGCTACATAAGTATATTATTAGTATATTCCTCATTAACATCTAAGAATGTAAAAGAGAAAAGAATTGTGATTAATAACTTGCAGTTCAATGAAATTCACACAATATCATGAGTGTGATAACAGGTTACTTTTGTCTCAGCAAAGTCTTTTTTTTTCCCCAGAAAATGTCTTGCAAGTATTAAAAATTAATGGTGTATGCATGTGGTTTATGTAGAAAAATGGCTTATATACAAGAATAAATATGTTTTCTGAATAAAGTTTGATCTAGAAAAAAAAACAATTTGATCTTGCCAGCAGATAAATGCTGCTTGATACCATTTCTTGGATAGGGGCAAGTTTCTACATTTGTCCTTCCACTGTAATGCTCTTTTAAGCAGTGACTAGAATGAACTCAGTTTTTCCCCATTCACCAGACACTGGTATGTCCTCCCTGACAACCTTTTAAGAGCAGGTTAAAATTAATGTCCATTATTAGAACTATCGTCTATTATCCTGGTCTTTTACAGCATGAATGTCTAAAGACTGAAGGAGAAAGCAAAAAAAATACAGACTATTTGAATAATATAGTGAAAGTTAGAACTAGAAATCCTAGGCATCTCCAGAAAACACAGTGAGATCATACTCCAGGAATTATCATTGCACCATAGATATGATCTATGATTTAGGTCAGCAGTCGTGGCTCTTTTCAAAACACTGGGGCCACATTGCAGCTCATCAGTTGAGCAAGTGAAAAACCACTGACTGTAGACAAAATTGTAAAAGGGCCATACCTTATAAGGCCTAATAAATAGAGTATTTGACCAAGAAGAGAGGAATGCCATTCTTCTAAAGACTACATAAAATAGCCCTAGGAGGCATTTGACTTACAAATCTTGGTATATCCAGCTGTGCAGACACTTGTAGAAATAAGTAAATCTGAGCCACCTGATAATGTTTTAAAAGCCCTTGATTAACTGAAATGCCTGCACAGCACAAGCATAGGTATGAGATAGTATTTAGAAAAGATCAGCAAGTGACCAAGTAGGATAATCTGCATCATCTAAGAGGACTTGAACACATCTGTCATGGCAGCTGAATGTAACTTATTTTCTAAACCTCACTCGGATATGTTAATAACTTGATATTAAGCCTGAATAAATATCATTGATATTTAGAAACTGAGAATAAGAGACTATTTCAATTATCTGTCATTACACTTGTATTTCTAAATTTCTTGATTATGATTTAGCTTAAAAGTATCTTTTTGGTTTATTTTTTTTTTATTTTTTACAGGTCTTAAAGTAAAGACATTCTAATTATCTTCCTATAACTGCTATGTGATGAAAGAGTTTAAGTGGGCATGTTTACAAGCTAAGTCTTCTTAAATGAGGAAATGTTATCATCCTGTCATAATGAGACACCACTGCTTCAAGTGAGAGGACATTTTTAAGAGGAGAGAAAACATGTTTTATATTATTATAATGTAGAATTTGCATAATTTAAACATCTAATATATGGCATAAATTCAGGAGTGAAGCTTGCCATAAAAATACACCTAAGAATAATTTTAATAGCTGCTGAATTATATCAGTTCTCAAATGATTTCTCAAATGATTTCCCAGCAGACATGTTCAAACACCTGCCATGGCTTGTAATAAAGGTCCTTTTATACTGACTTGATGCTATTTTCACTTTCAATTCAACATGTGTTTCCTGATATCTTAAATTAAAAGAACTATGCTCTAGCTCATTGCTGACTTTAAACTATCTGGAATTATTTAGCATAAACATGCAGCCAAGGCAATGCAGTCCTTCTCTTCAAACTATGTATCAATGTGTAAAGCCATGACTAAAAAAATGTGAATAGAAAGTATGAATTATTCATTAAATACTCCTGAAGAATCATAAAACTGCAAACTCTTATATTTTCTTACTGTTCCAAAAACTTTTGGAATTTCTTCAGTAAAGATAATTGAACTTAACCTTGAATAAGGACTCTCTTTGTCCTTTCATCTTTAGTTTGACACATTTTGCAAGAAAACGAAGTACAGAGTCTGTCACAACTTGAAAGGATTTGAATCAATGAACCCCAAGATATGCAAGATCTGAATCTAATTTTTGTAAAATGAGAATTCCTGTTTCCCCACCATCTGCTAGATTCAGCACTTACCAGTCTGAATTATAGACACAAACTACTATTTTTTTCTGTTGCTAAAATATTTGACAACATTGATTCATATGGCATGCAGTTTAGATATTATAAGCTAAATTTAGAACAGATTTATTTGTTTCAGAACAGAGAAAGCATTTTCAAGCAACAGTAAAATCTTGTATCATCTTGCTTAATAAGCAAATAAGCATGTTTCAGAAAGGATAAATGTGAAAATATGAGAAAATAATGTAATCTTCTTTGCAGTATAAACTTAATAATGTATGTATTGTACAATGTTCCACCATGCAGAATACTAGAATCAATATATATATATTTAGGCCTCAGCTTACCTCAAAAGTAGTATCAAAGTTTTTTCAGCTTTTAAGTTGACTGAAACACAGTTTAAAAATTAGGATTTTTTTTAGAAATGCATATGTTGCAAATATATATGTGTGTGCATATATATATGTGTGTGCATATATATATGTCTCTGCTTCTATATATGCAAAATAATTATTGTAAAATTCAGCCACCTTTGTTAATTTTAAAATATGTTACACAGAGATTTAATCACTGGAACATGTTTTGCCTTGATGAATTTGTGGGCTTCTTTTTCATTATATTAAAATTTTGACATACGTGAAATTTTGGCATATGACAGTGATATTAAAATGAAATAATAATTTTTTTATTTCTTAGGTGTAAAGGTGAAAGATTATACCATAGGACCTACTTGTAAAATAAATATTAACACTGAAGTTAATACATTTTTTCAATGTTTAAACAAAAAACAAAATAGCTTCTAGCTTTTATCTTGTGTTTCTTAAAAGTTGTAAGGGGACCACAAACTAGCAGTTGCACTGCTGGTTGCAGTGCACACCTGTATTCCCAAGACTCTGTGGTAAATCACTTTTCTTAAATAAGATAATACTTAAAGCAACTAGATTTCTGTATCTTGTTTAGTAAAAGCCTCTATGAGGAATGGAAATATTTCCCTTGAGAAATTATAATAGTAAATTGAAATATATGCATGCTAGTATGTATGTTGAATATTCATTCCATTTTATGTTCTTGATCACTTAGAAAGAAAAAAATGAGGTGTAGAACTCAAATCCTGCCACACACACTCATGAAGGACTTTCCTGTTAAAGAGCATGGGTCACAGCTAGCTGTGACCAATAGGTGCAAAAAAAGCACGGATGAAAAAAAACCCCTGATACCTTTGGATCCCTGAAGGCATCAGAAAACATACATGAGCTTATATATCCATATGTACAAAGATATATACACAAGCACAAAAAGAAAATGAGGGCAATAAGGCCAGGAATATTTCCCCAAAAAGGCCACCAAAGCAAAAGAGCGAGCCAATGGTTCATGAATCAGAAAGTTTTATTTCAAGGTCACACAGAGAGGCTGTGTTGCTCCCTTCTCTATGGCTCGAGGGGAGTCTCCAGCTGCCTGTGGGACCATGGTATGCTGCAGACTGGGGCTGGAGGTGTTTCCTTGTCCTAAGGTCGACGGCTGAGTCAAAAGCTGAAGAAATCTCTGTCTGAGAGGCTCAGGGAGAGGATAAGAGTGCGCCGTGGTCTAGTCCTGCACCTAGCCTTGCATATTTTTTTCTTTCCAGTAATCCTAGACTGTGATACTATGTTTAATTTCCAGAGTCCCTGCTAGGGAGAAGATAAAATCATTAATCTTCATTAATATGCACCCTATCCATATGCCTCCTAATCTGCATGAAATAACACTTAAATCTAAAGCCATGATTTAGATTTGTTATCCTTAATTAATTTTTGGTTTTGCTAAACTCTAGCTCAATGTCAATTCTGTTTATTTACACCTACCTTCATGAGTATTTTCTTTAGTGCAATGCAAGAATTAGGTGACCAAATTACAAGAAATCCACACACTGTGTTTGTATCAACACTTTCCTTTCTTAAAATAAATTTTGCCAGATTAATCCATTTCCCTCATGGCATTTTAAGATGTACTTCTCAAAATTTATTACTGGAGTTATTTTACCTTCAATAATATCAGCACATATCAGAAGTGATTGTGCTTGATTTTTTGTGGGTTGTTTTTTGGGTTTTTTTAATAATGCAGATATTTGTTCCAGAACACACATTTCTTCCAATAAACCCAAGCAAAGCAATGTACCTACACAGTAATATAAATATGCAAAACAGCAATCCATACTCCTTTACATAGTCCTACAAGTAGGGCTAATAAGCTGGAAAATTACAGGAAAGAGACACTACTAATTATTTCTGCTCTTATTTGCTGACTTTACAAATCAACAAGCTAATTATTTGAATCTATTCCAGCAGAAGCACATGCACCTGAAAATATAGGTATTTTCAAAATTTGCATTTGAATAGTAGTGGAAAAAGACAAAACTGAAGCATATAATAAGTGTGTAGTCACTAAAAAGAAAGAGTTTGAAAAGCATAATGGGGTCTTATGTCACCTTTTTACTGTATGATAAAAGAGTTGAGAAACCCAAAATTTAAGAATTTAAAGACATGGAAATTTGCATCTCAAAGCTAACATGCTATGACCTATGGCTCCCACAATTCTCATCCTTTTTCAGACTCCAAGTCTTCCTTTCCTGTACCAAGACTTCTAGCCCCACATACCTTTTCCTGTCTACTCAGATTTTCTGAGGCTGTTAGCCTCAGAGGTTATTATTAGTATGATAAAGTATAAAATTAGTATGATAAAGGTTTCAGTTCTCAAAACTGTGAAACCATAATGTGGTTGAGGCTGTGTGGAGTTGGTAAAACAATGTAGTAAATAATTTTCAGGTGAGTGACCAAACCACAAGTCTTCAGATGTACCTTTTCTCACTTCAAAATGCTGTTGGTAGAACAAATACAGAAAGATGTTATAAACTGCGTAATGTGTTGTGCTGTCCTCAGTAAGAACTGGAGGATGTCTATCCCATGAACATATGAAACCCTAAAACCAACAGAGAAAACCCTGCTCCCATATGTTTCATTGCAAGTAGCAGGACAATGCCACTATCTGCGCACAATCATTAGGTTAGTGCTTTAAAGATGAAGAGCACCATGCAATTAAATTATCCAAGAGTCTGGAGTAAGCCTAAAATTATTAAAATTCCACGGACTTCTGGCACACAGTGAGAATTTTATTCATTCAGAGCAACATGACAGGAATGCTTTGCTTGTGACCTTTTGCTTTTCTGAAGGCTTACACTTCTCACTTCATAATATAAATGAACTGGAATCACAGAAGTGTTCTATGGGCATATACAGCTTTTTTTAGTTCAGAAATGTAAATCCTTATCAAGATAAAGGTACATGCCAAAATTAGACAAAACAATCTAGGAAAACGAAATGTCAGATGTAGCTATATATTATTTAATAACAGACACCATTTACTGTCATTAATTTTCCAAGTGATATTTCTTAGAAACTCCTTGGCATAAACAGGAAAATTGTGTATTACTTTTCTGTGATATAAGCTGCTGCAAGCAGTAGGAAAATTTTTGTTTACCTTTCTCTCTATAAGTAGTTAATTCCTCTTAAGTCTCTTGAGCTTCTCAATAGACTTCAGGCCAAAATATGTTTGATGAGAAGCCACTCTTAGGCATAATAAACACTTAAATCATACTATGTGTTTTATTCTTCACTTAGTAATATTTTAAAAATTTCTTCTTTATCTTTTTTTTCCTTTTAATAATTGATTTTAATGTAACCTCTAAAATAATGCAGCATGAACCTTTGGAAAACATATGAAATTATGCATACTTTAAGTTCACATTATAAAATCTATAACAGATTTGCATTTTTTCAGCTTTCCTAAACTGCAGCACTTCTTTGTTCAACAGAAAGTGTTGATTATGGGCCGGTGTTTGTACAAGAGCCAGATGATATAATTTTTCCAACTGATTCTGAGGAAAAGAAAGTGTCTCTGAATTGTCAAGCACGTGGAAATCCTACTCCCACATACAGGTACCTGTTTTACAATTTTATTTATTTTTAGATTTCAGAATAATAGCCACTGCATCCCTACTCTGAAAATCAATGTATTTTGGTGAGAAACAACAGAAACAACTCCCTGACACTAGTGCTTTTCTTGATTGAATACTTTTTGTGATTCTGAATAAGCAAGAAGCAGAAATGGCAGTGATTAAAGAAAATATTTTAAGTTTCAAATTATGTACTCTCTGTATCATTTCTATCCATGTGGAGAGACTCCTTTTGTCCAGTTTATTGAATCGTGTCTGCGACAACTGACAAAAAAATATTAATTTTTTTTTAATTTTTATTTTTATTTCTATACATCTATAAAGCTACAAAATACTATCCCAACATATAGGGAAGGCAGCAAAGTATGTGCATTAAATGACATGACTTGGCACTACAAGATACCATGGCTGAGTCAAATCTGGGGTTTCTTCACTCACAAGCCTTCCATTTTATTCCTCTGCAACCATCACCTGTTGCTTATTTTTCCATGCAGACTTGTAGGCCACAGTTATCCATTATTCAGTCCTGTGGTGACACAGCTGTGAGCCTCAGAGTGCATTTTATTGATGGTGCATACCTACAGGTGGTAGCAGTATGTTGCAGTCACCTTACTCATTTGCTATATCTGTCTCTGCTCATATTTTATGTAAATTACTAGTGATGTAAGAAGGCTGGGGGAACATATGGTTGGTTATTTTTTTTCCACATACCCTTCATCTTTTCTCATAGAGTCATTCTTCAATTACAAAGGGAATATAAGGACTCTTATAGTGTTTTGTCATAAGTGGAAATCATCAATTCCACATTTTGTCTTTTGCCTTTTACCCTTATTTGACTTGTGAATTCTTCAGCATTCTGACTGAATTTTCCTTAGAGTTATTTAAATCACAGCTCTTGCATGTCTATAACTTGAAGAAATCCAGAAGCAGTACCATCCTTAGATACCCCTATCATAACAGTACTCAATCTGCCTCTTTGCAACATATGGAGGATCTGATCACAGCTCCCTCCCCCACCCCCCCAACAACACAGGCATGACGAAAACACATAACATGGGATTAGGAATGAATATCCAGAAATTCTCCAAACCATAATAGCATGAATTCCTCTACTATGTGGTATGAAAGCTATGTTGCATTCTTCTTTACTGACATTCCTTCTGTAAATTCTGTTACCAACTGGTGATTTCTTTATAATAATAAAAGAAAAGAAAGTGTATTGGTTCCACACATTGTAAAAGTGCTGTCAGTCCATTAAACATAGCCTGTGACTATTGGAAAAATGCACAAATTCACCCCCAAAGTCCTATATTCAGGTCTTCCAGACAACCTCATTATTCTTGTAGAAATATTGTCTGTTGAGAAACTATGCCATCTCCTTTCTTCATTGAACAATTTTTCTGCATTTTCCAGTGGAATGCAATCAATAAATGCAGACTTTCAGCATATTTTAAAGGGTGTCTACAAAGAGGATAGGGACTCTTTCTTCATAAGGAGCCACATGGAGAAGGCAAGGTTTCATACTCCTCAGTAACCCCTGAAGGCTTTCAAGATGCAAATAACCAAAATGTTTGATTACCTCAACTAGGCTCCATTTGCTGTATGAAGCTGGAAAAAATGTTCTTTTAATATCTCTTCCAACCTGGGTTGATTTATGGTTTTTTGATATCCATGTCTTCAGTTCTCCAGAGATTAATTGGTGTCAGCAGCCTCATAAGCAAACTCGCTCATGGAAGAAGATATTTAACCTAAAAGGCCTAACTCAAACAGCACAGTTTAACTTCTTTTTTTGCTGCCACTTGTCTGAACAGCATTTGCAATGCACACTACCATCCAAGGGAGGGAAAAGAAGTAAAAATTGCTCTCTGAGGAAAATACTATTCTCCAGGACAAATGTAAAGGGAATTTAACCTCAAAAGATCTACAGATACACAAAGTTTTGAATATGCCACTCCCCAACCACATTACCAAAGACTCTGGCCAGCTGCACTGGGCCTTTATTTACATATTCTCTGAGGCTTGTGCTGCTAAGAATTATTTTTGGCCAAAACCAAAGCACATTTATTTAAATTTATATTAAAAGAACATTTAAAGCATTCAAAATTTTCAATGTTATCTCTGCCTTTTTTTACATTCATTTCTTTAGTCTGTGTAATTTGTGACACAGTGTTCATAACCTGTTTACAAGTTCTTTTTTTTATTCTTGGACATGACTTTGTTTGAATGGAATGCAGAATATTCACATCATTTCAGATGTTCTTCCTTTCAAAAAACTTTGTTTCCCTTTTTCCAAACTCTACCCTGAATAAATAAATAAAATAGGTTTTAATTTCCTGTCTTTCTGTCATTGAGGTATTTTGATGCATACTTTTTGGGAATAACTCCCTGAGATAAATTCTGTTTGCTTAACATTTCCGCATATCATACCTTAGCATCACAAGTCAGGGCAGTGCAATGAAGACAATGACTGCAATGCCTTTGATGATGAATGCAGACATTTACAAACTTCCTGTGGGATCTCACCAGTCAGCATTGATACTGAGCTACAAGCAGGTATTGAATTCCCTGAGATGCCACTTAACTACACAGCTTTCACTGATTGTGACTCTTTTGGACTCTTGGACTCTTTTACTTAGGACACACATTATCTGGGTAGTAATTGTTTTGTCAGTATCATTTAATTCTTTTGTAAATATCATTTCCTGTTAGGAAAGGCAATTGAAAAAGTTTTCTAAAAATTATTTATTCTCTGCTTAAGCCAGATAATAGTATTTTGAAATGCTATCTGTCACTCTTATTCAAGAAAAAATGCATCTGAATTTTCCTAATAATCTATGACCTTGGAAGTGTTATATTTTGGGTTCTGTCCTTCCAGATCCATCAGGTTACCTAGAAAAAAGTCACCTAATTCAGTGTTTATTTTCCAATTATAGATTATATGAGGGGAATACAATCCCTCAGGATGGACCGCAAGATGTAAAGGCAGGTAGCTATTAAGATCTAAGGTTTTGAGGTAGAATTCAAAGAACATATTTATTCATTGAACTTAGCTGAAAATGAAACTAAAGGAATAAAGCTAGTTTACCTGAATTTTGTGACAGTTCCCATTCGGAAATATTTTTTTGCTTTTTCCCCCATCTAAATTTCCATTCAAAATCAATTACTTTTGCTTTTTTTTCCACATATATATACAAAGATATATGTATTAAAAGAATTGATTTTCATTATGATTTCATTCAAAATATAAACTAATCAATAAATTGGTCAAATTAAAAATTCCTTTCCTTTTTTTACCTCTTCTATGTATGAATCTGTTTTAAAATGTAGGTAATCCTATAAAACTTCCCCTGCTATCTTTTAAAATATAAATAAATTTTCAATGTTTCCTTTCTAACATTCAGTGAAACAGAGGCGCTCTGCAATCAAAAGTCCAATTGTAAAAAGAAAGGACAAATAGGAGATTCATACTTCATCCATATTCTGACTATTCTGACCTTTGGATTAAGAAATATTCACCACTACTGCAGCTGAATTCTGCTCTCTGTATCCCATTCATCATGAATGTTAACTAGATTGAGTGAATTAATAATTATTTTGCTTTGTTAAAGTTGTCTCTGGAGTCTAAAGGTTGCCAAGTTCTTCCAGTCTTTGCTGATCTCTGGCAAAGCTTTCAAATTCCTGGAAATTTCCCAAGCCAACTTTGAAGCTGCAGAATGACAGCAAAAGAGTAATGAAAGAAATATCTGTGTATTATAATAATTGTACCCTATCTGTTTACACTGCTTATCTCTTCTTTGCATTCTTCTTACAATTTAATGAAATTACACTTTGACAAAAAAAAATCTAAAAGTCTTCATATGTAGATTTTATTATTTTATTCATAAACTACAGACACACACACATAAGAGGTTATTCCAGACTGCTGAAGTCTATTAATCTACCACAAAAAATATTTTCTCTTGCAGCCAGTGGACTATTACAGAGTTTGTTGCTTTAGTTTTTTGGGATGAATAGGAGGCTGAAGCTTTTTGGCAGACAGTATCTGGGACAGGCAGGAAACACAACCCATAAGACCACTTGCATGACTGAAAAATTATGAGACTCATAGGTTACTTCTGAAACCTCATAAAAATAAGTGTTTACTCAGAAATAATTCAAAACTTTGCCTTAGTTGGGATACTTTCAATGTTTCTTCCAGCCTAGTTTTTTTCCTTCTTATCTTCACTCCCATCCTTTATTTTACTGCTCTGGCTTCTTATTTCACTCCCAAACACATCCCCAACTTAGCATTCCCTATTCAGACTGTTTATTTGGTATAAGTTTCCATGTACCTAGTATCTCTTAGGAACTGCCATTTGCCACCCAGCAGTTAATTCCAGTTCTTTGTTCCAGTCTTTGAATTTTGTGTATACCGATTCAGCTGATATTATTTTGCCTTTGTCTGTTGCCAAAATCCTATGTTGCATAACAGCCTATGTACATCAATCTGTCTCCCTGATCTTCACAGGTCTTGCTCTTCTTTATTCTGTATTTAAATGAGGTGTCTCTTTTTCTTGGGCTAAGATGATCAAATGCTGAAAGAATGGAAAAAATTTTCCTTGTTTTTATGCACTGCAGACTCAGTTGTGATACCTGTAAGCTCAGCTGGGCCTAAGGCTTTAATGATAGAATCTGAATTAAAACTTTGATTATCATAAGCACAGTAAAATTCCTATTTTTGACATAAAGGATGCATCTGCTATGCAGTTTTCAAGTCTTAAGCTTTTGTGAACGTTAGTTTATGGCGAGAAAAAAAAACAGAAAAAAAAGAAGAGATCATTATTTTCATTCAGCATAGGTAAAACAAAGAATATCCTTTTTCTCCAGAGGCTGAAGATCAGATTTTGCTTGTGTTTTTTGCTTTCAGGTTTTGCCAGAGTAATAGGTTCCTGCACAGGATTTCGCTGAATAGTTGTTATTACAACTGGAGCTGTCATATTTTGTGTCCTAAGCTTGATACCTTCACTTGGCTGTTAAATGCTCAAGCAGTTTTTCAGTGAGCTTTTTTTTTTTCCCCCTAAGATGGCTTCGAAATGGAACAGAAATCGACATTGAAAGTGATTATCGCTTCAGTTTAATAGAAGGAAGTTTGATCATCAGCAACCCCAGTGAAATGAAAGATTCTGGACAGTACCAATGTTTAACTACCAACATGTTTGGCAGTATTTTAAGCAGAGAGGCTGTTCTTCAGTTTGCATGTGAGTAACATTTTTTAAAATATTGACAAATCAGACCTTTACATTGCTTGATAAGGCACTAAGTTGTAATTTGAATCTGTTATACAAGTGACACTGACATTGTTGAGCTAGAATCCCAAAATTACAAATAAAATACTTAGTGGAAGAGAGTGATTTTCTGCAAACTTGTTACTTTTAAAATAGAATCATCAGGGAAAATAACTCTAGTACATGTTCCCAAATGGTGTACTTTAATGGCATACTTGAATACTCTGCAGTGATGTATTTCACTCATTGCTAGTTTCCTGAAACATCTATCATTTTGCCACACTCTCTGAGCAGGAAAGAAAGAACTGCAAACTTAGGAATAGAATGAGATAAAGTGCATATTTATCTGTTGGATACTATGTATGGCTATTTTTTAAACGTATATATGTATGTAAATATATATGGTTTATGTCCTTATTTTTCCATACATATCCTTTCATACATGTACTTATACTTTCATAAAATATAAAACTGAAGGTGTTTTTATAGTTGTTAATGGAAACAAAAAAATGTCTTACCTTTTGAAATCATCTACTAAAATATACTTTTCAGAAGCTATCAATAGTTCATGATCTCAAGTAAACGCTATGGTCTATCAAAGCATGCTCTATTTCAAACATATGAGCAGGAAAAACAGGGCCAGGATTTCTCTTCAACCCTAACTTCCCCTCAGCACTTTACAGGAAGAAATCCAACATAATTTTATTATGTTTATCTAGATAAATCCTATAAAAGTGGTTTTTAAGAGGAGGAGTACAAAAAGAACTCCATCCTAGTTTCTCATATCCCGCTGAAAATAAGACAATACCGTGAAATATGAGCCAGATCTTCATATGGCCACAGCTGGAAAAATGGGTTTAAGGAGAAGTTGCCATCTGCATGTCTACTAACACATCTGGTGTTGTCAAGAACTCAGCAGTGAGGTCTGATCTTCACTTAATCCACCCCTCCCTGGTCAAGTCAGACCTCTTTAATTTATTGCTTAATTTTTATCTGCTGCATAGTCCATCACGGTGTTAGGAGATCATAGTACTATCTGCCTACTTCTGAGCTGGGAAGAATAATGACATTTGTAAAAGTTTGCTCATGCCAGGGTAGCATGTTTAAAACTCTAAGCACCACAAGAGTATCATGGTATTACTGGACTTCCATTTTAAATGTAGCTTCTGAGAAAATTCTTCTGTATTTTGTCTTTTAGACAAGAAAACTATCCTACAAAAAATATCCTGGTTAGAGAACCCAACCACTGGGTTCTTTACATGGTTCCAGCTGTCTGAACCTCAGATTTCTGTTCCCAGATCGAGAGTAGGGAAAAGAGTTGCCTTTTAACTCCAGTCAAAAAAAAAAAAAAATACACAGGGAAAGTGAGAGCTGTAGTTACAATAATTACATCCACAGTTCATCCAGGTCCCCATGTACTTATATTATTACCTCCTCCAATAAAATAAATTTAGATAAAGTGACCAAAAAAAAAAAGAAAAAAGAAATAAGATATTTGGTTTAGTGGGTTTATTTTAATTGGATTTTTAAGTTTATATTATCTTACACACCTACTTTTGCAGATATCAAAATTATTACAGTTTAATGTCTGAAATGTGATTTCTGTTTATTAAAGTATTTGGAAATTGTAATTAAAGTTTCCTAGGAAATTTTAATGGCAGAATGCTATTTGGAAGTGCTGCAGGACTTGCACCAGAGAAAAGGCTGTAATTAGAACATAAAAATATTTTTAAATTATAGAGTAATAACTGATTAAAGCTCTTTTAGAAGTTTGTGAGAAACTTGTTCATAAGAGCAATTTCAAGTTCAATGTGTATTTCTAACTTAATTCTATGTAGCATGATACTCTCTCTTCCAATCCTGCTTTAATGCCTGATCTTAAATACTTGGTGTTCATGTTGAAATAATATTTGCATTATGCAGCATCTCAGATTTTAATATTATTTAATTCAAGTTGAATGATATCATTGCACTGTAAACTCATACTAACATGTCAGAAGCTTGTATCACTGAAAAGTTGTTGTAAGTAAGATCCAGTGGCTATCTTTTCCGGTGCCTCACCACCTTTATAGCTTTATAGGAAAGTATTTCTTGTTAACAGCTGGCCTGCATATGTCCAGTTGATTTCAGTAAAACAGAAAGTAAAGCATCGGAATAGATTTTTTAAGGAAATGTCCTAACCTTAAAGTAATTAAAGTAATTGGTGCTCTACAGTTTTATTGGGATATAATGGCTTGAAGAGTAATTTATAATCCCAAGGAAAAACAAAGCCATTTCTGACTATGAGAGGCAGAGCTATACATATTGCCCTTCATTTTCCTTTTCATTGCTCAAAACCATGGATGTTGATTCCAAAAGCTTAGAAACTTACTGCTTTCACTAGAAAAAAACCCAAAAATTAAGTTCCTGGAATTGTTTGAATTCATGGGCTGTGCTTCTCTGGAAAATAGTTACATCTTTGCAACTTGAAAGTTGTTCTTCTAATTAAAAAGAGAAATGGCATGCAGATAAAAGTGGAATAGGGACCATTAACCAAGGCCTTTGATACCATCTTAAGGACAAAATGTGTATTCTAAGGTGCCTAAATACCATGAAACCCAAAAAGGGAGAGCATATTTATCACAATGAGTCTTAGTTCTCTCCCACATCCATGGCTAAAAGCCCCGTTGCTATGGTTATTATCATGTAATTCAGCATTTGTGATGCATTGCAAATATAAATGCTTATGTACTATATCATTTGCATATGTGTGCACAGTAGAAAAGAGGAAATACTTGGAGATGCTTATATCATGTCTTTGGATTTGAAAGAGAAAGAGATATAAAATACTTGAAATAGCCCACTCTATCACTGCTTATTTTTATGGAGCAAAATTGGAAGACCAGTTATGTGCAGTTAAAGGTCTGCTTGAAATTTCAAACTACCACAGCAAACACTTAAGAAGATTTAAACTCGATAAAAATTCTCTTTTTTTTTTCTTTTTACTTCCTATGATGTCTCATGTCCAAGGTCATGCTGATTTATGCTATTTTTAGAAAGCAAACGAAAAAAAAGAAAACTATCGCATTCTGTAAATGAAATTAGAAGTATATTTTTTCAATAAAAACAAAATCTAATGCATAATTGAAAAAAAGATATATATTTCAACTTGACTATGTCTATCTGCCTTACAGCAAAACAACTGCATATTTTTGTATGTGGTTCCACAGCTTCTCTTTCGAACAGTGTCCTAATAACTTTGGCTACAACAGCAGATGTATTTTGTACTTACCTTTGCCACATGTACAATCTCTGTATTCCATTAGGTCACAAAACAAAATTGCATTCCTTTATCTGTGGATTATTCAAGCTTTCACAAGCATACCGTCTCAATGATATTTACAGCCTGGCTAAAAACCTAAAGTGGTAAGAGAAAACAAGTTCTCACCTGTCATTTATGGAACTCCTCACTGCAGTTTTATTAGTGCAATTGTCACTGGCTTTTTTTTTACTAAATCTGTTTTATTCCTTTTAATCTACAGAGAAGGACACTGATTAGATTTAATTTAAATGTCTTTTTCTGATGGATGATCTATGATAACTGACCAATGCTGTACAGAATAAGAAGCCACCCATGATGCAGACATATAAATCGATAGTTTCCTGAGGAGACAGGCTGCACACTGCCCATTCTATCACAGCACACTTTTGTCAACCTGTTAATTGGCTTCACCTACAAAGAAATTAGTTTAATCATCTATGTTTCTTTCCTTCCATCATGCTCCTTGGATACCTTATTGGGTATATATCATAATTTCCTAGAATTAATTTGTAAAGATTTGATTTATTGAAACCCCCTAGACTTGAGAAAAGCCTTTGTTTCTCATGTTCATTTCAGAAGATGCAGAATTACAAAATGGTGTTACAATAGCAATATTTGCTTCAAAATCATATAAATCTAAACAGTTTTAGGTACTATAAATGAAAGGTGAAAACTGAAGCGAGAAAAGAAATCAAAATGCAGGTAATTATACTCTCAGTCTCAAAAGTGTCCCTGATCATCCTGTAATAAACTTTTAAGTTTGTGACTGCTTTGCTCTGAAAGCATCACGGCTGTGTGAAGAATGTTAGTTACTGTGTCAGTTAAGAATAGCTACACCTACAGCAGTGACTTGCGCTACAATGTTTTTGGATTGTTTTCTTTACTATCCCAATATGCTCTCTTCAGAAAATATATGCTTAAAAGGCACCTGAAAACTATGTGTAAATACCATAAAAAGTAAATTTTGCTTAGAACTGTTTGCATTTTATTGATAAATAATTTATTAATTGAAGAGTATCATTCAGTGAATTTGAAATGAATGTGAATTTGCCAAACTCTGCCAACAGTTTCAGCTGTTCTTTCCAGCCACAGTTTCCTACATAAATGTTCAAACCATTTACACTATCTATTTTAAAATTCTCCAACTGTAGCCCTTTCTTTTCTTAAGATGATTGGGAAATAAATTAGCTGAGTAATATTTTTTTTTTTTTTTGTATAAAATTTTGAAAAAATTATGTTTGCAGTCAAAGTAGAAGTCTGGAAAATTAAATTTTTTGAATTTTAGCTGTGGGGATGCTTACTTTGTTGTATAGTGAAATATTCAGCTTATATAACTAAGTTCAGTTGTTCAAAATGCTAAGAACTTTGGCTCTAGTCTAAAAAGACATTTCACCTTAAAGTATCTGCATAATCCTTTTGAAGCTGATGGGGTGATGTAAGTCCTTAAAATTCAGCACATGCTTAAACTCTTTGTTGTTGTTAAACATAAGGCTTCCTGAAGCAATATTTGAAATAATCTGTATGGATTTGTTGCCAGTGTCATCATGACAGACACATAATGGGTTTAATTAAGCCTTCTGTCATTCATTTCCTCATTCTTTCTTTTTAAAGTGAATAAATACCTTTGAATAACAAACTTTAGGAATAAAAAATATCAGAACTTATTACAACT